GAAATCTTCCAACTGAACCATAGCTAAGGCTTATCCAAAAAAGTCGATAGGTTTGTCAGTATGAGTATTCTATGGAAAAAATCAGCTAAAGTCGCGCTCGTGTGTGTGAGACGCGGGAGCTGATGGCAGGGGGCGGTGGATATTTGTGGCGGTCAATATGGATATTGTGGATGAGTTCTTCTGCGTCATCACGTTCTATTAGTTCTACAGCTTCAGTTTTGGAACTTTCACGCTTAGTAACACATACAGCTGTTCCCTCACCACAGTGCAACAGTGAAAAGGGACCCCTTTCAAACAGTGTCATGTTCCGAACGTTGTTTAAGTGACATACACCGGTATTGTGGTATTTTAAAAATTCATATCATAACAAAAATAAACACCGGTATTCGGTATGAACCGGTATACCGCCCAGCACTACTCTGCACTCTTAAGGAAATATTACCACTCCGCTCACATGCTCTGCTAGCTAGCCAGTATGGTGACCTAGTATAACCCAACAACAACACTTTCACATTCTATGGACTTAACTTATTTGATTTATACCAAAACAAACTCAGCCATGTCAGTTTTACGCTCTTCACAGTGTACAAAACAAGCACCTTTCCCTATTCTGGAAATCTAATACAATCAAAAAGATATTAGAGGAAAGCACTTAAAGCCTGACCGCACAAGTCTAAAGTCGATAACCATGAAAAGCAGAGTTTACTGAAGAGCTCTGGTTGTCCACCTAAGCGAAACAAGCTAGATGAATTATTTCCGACTGAAAAGGTCGTTTTTTTTCCCTGCAACTGCCACTATGAAAGGGCCTCTTCAAGCTTTTCTACTTTGTTACATATATGCCTCCCAATGAAACAATCTCTCACAGGGACAAGAAAGGCATGTTGTGGTTTCAGAATATATTTTCTATGGTTAATAAAAGGAGTTTATAGTTTGAAAAGTCTAAAACCACTCATGAAAATGCTTTTATTTTTCATTTTTCTAATTGAATAAGTTAACAGAAAAATGTATAGTTTATGAGTTGATATAAATAGTAAACTTAAGTGTGGTACAAAAGTCTGAAACCGCTAATGAAAATGCTTCTATTTTGCATTTTTTCTAATTAAATAGGTTTACAGAACGTTAGAAGAAAAATAATAATAATAATAATAAAAGCTTATAGTTCATGAATTTATAGAAACAATAAAGAAAGAAATAAAATTAAAAAAAATAAAATAAAATAAGATAAAATAAAATAAAAAGTAAGAAAAAAATCTGAACTTTAAATAGGTTAAGTTGGGTCCAAAAGTGAAAAAGTATTTTTTTTTGCCATCATGTTATCGGTATTTCAGTACATCTTTTATATTTTATTTATATTTTAGAAAAAACGAATTATTATAAAAAGTATTTATAAGAAATTATATATAGAAGAAAAAGTATTTCGGAATCTCTTGAGAAATGAATGACAAAAAATGTTTGTTATTAATGAACAGTTTTTTTTTGTCAACAAACTAAATGAAAAATGTGCATCATGACAAAAAATTACTGATTTATGAATTAAAATTTAAAAAGCACTGTTGATAAATTATTTAATGTATAAAAGAAATATAAAAGAAAAATGAAAATTATATTATATTATGAAAATATATATGAAAATGTGAAGAAAAAAACAACAATTGTTTCAAATAAAGCTAGTAAATAATTAATGTTGCACCCAAACATATCCTAAACCAGGAAAAAAACACATGCCACTTGAGTCAAGAGTAAAAATGACAAAAAAAGCCAAAATCTAGGACAAAAAGAAGTGTAAAATCACCACTGCACTTGAGCTGACATGAACTTCACACATTTGAATTATGCATGAAGATTTACTGAGCTGAAAGATCAATGTGATATATATATGAAAATGTGAAGAAAAAAACAACAATTGTTTCAAATAAAGCTAGTAAATAATTAATGTTGCACCCAAACATATCCTAAACCAGGAAAAAAACACATGCCACTTGAGTCAAGAGTAAAAATGACAAAAAAGCCTAAATCTAGGACAAAAAGAAGTGTAAAATCACCACTGCACTTGAGCTGACATGAACTTCACACATTTGAATTATGCATGAAGATTTACTGAGCTGAAAGATCAATGTGCATTTACCTTGCCTGGCCTCCTCTTCCAGCAGATCCGTGTGCATGGCCAGGTACCTCTCCTCATCACACAGAGCCTCTATCCTGGCCTCCTCCTCGGACAGCTGGTAATCGTGATTCCACGAGCCTGCGTCATATTCCGAAAGATCATGTAAATGACCGCGGCCATCGTACCTGCAATACGAATCACGTGGTTAAAGGCGAGAGGAAATTAACATTGGATTGCATACAAGAAATACTCACCACACTGAAGAACCCTAAAAGTAAAGCCATTTTTATATTCACATATATGCTTTTCTTTCAAAATGCTACTTCGCTTACAAGGTTTGCTTGAGGAGGTGTGAGAACTGAACAATGCCTGGGCGGCAAAAGCAGACGGCCTATGTGATGCGCTCCAGACGGTATACGTATCAAGAGATGAGTGCACTTGCATGATATACTTACTAAATCCGTCTAATTCTTCACTAAAACCATAAAAAGACGCAACAGGCCTGAGTAAAGAACGTATTAACAAAAACAAAACAAAAAAACGCAAACAACTCTCCTCTTACCTTACATGGTTCAACAAACCATTCCAACTTTTTGAGACAACTGCCATCATCATTCCTACATTTACTGTAAAAGAAGTACATCCACACAAGCCCGAGTACATAAATACCTATCTGTAAGAACCCATATGGAGGAAATTTTCCTGCGCTCGCTCCTGTATTCCACTTCTCAGTTCCAGTTTCTTCGGCAAAAGAGAGAAGTGGGCGATGAGGTGGCAATCGGGGCCTGGCGGGACCCCTTAGCCTTAATTGCTGAGGAAATAAGTTGTGTATTATGTGATAGAGAGACACACATACACATTGGAAACAAGAAAACAGATCCATGCAGATTAAGGTGGCTCAATGCAACCCGCTGCATTTCAACACACTCCTGGCTCGTTACCATTTCTCACATTTTTTAAAAGGACTGCAGCTGAACTGGAAAAAGTGTGGAGCAAGAGAGAAAACACATGAGGAATACAATATTCGACTGACTATGTGTTAGAAGTGCTTCCTGCAAAAGAACAATGTTAGACTTGGGATCTACAGTATGCATGAAGACAGAATTCATATAATGGGATTCAAATCATATATCACTTCATATGTGAGAACCACCTTAATGCACAGACGGTTTTTAATTTACAGTGGTTTGCATTTAATCGAATAAATGCAACACAAATGTGACCAAAGCAGATTCCCCAAGTACTAAGAAGCAGAGGCATCACATGACCAGTACATTAGGCCCATATTATGACTCATATTCACTCATTGTAACATTGTACAATAAATTCATAATTCCTATTTATAGATCAGTCATATTTATATTGATTTAGATATTCGATTTTAAATTATATAAGCGAGGGCCAAGTGAGCAAGGACTCTGCTTTGGATTTCAAACATTTCTAACCTTGCAAAAAAATAAATAAAACTCTTAAATCAGCCTAAGCCGTTTTGCTGGTCTCCTGGATGGTTTTAGAGGGCCCTGGGCACTTTTTAGCCTGTCAGGCTGGAAGACAAACTGAATACCAGCGTGGTCAGGCTGCGAGACTAGCTTAAACCAGCTAAGGCCAGCAAACCATCTAAGGCTGATTTAAACTGCTTGTTGAATCATTTGTCGGTGCTGTCAATGCATTGAGCTTACAAATAATCACAATCCAAGCTAGTTATCTTAGATCTGTCAATGTCACGTTTTTTTATTCGCGTTTGGCCATGTAAACATCACACAATGCCACCAGCTCCTCCTGTGCTGCAAAACAACAAATACATCCAAGGTCCCTTTGGAAGACATTAAGTTGGTTAAGTAATGATTCCCATTAGGTTTGTTTAACCGACCTATCGATCATGATGTTCTTGTCCCCCATCCATGGGATAAGGTGTTTGCCCTGATCGTGGTAGATGGCCCTCTCATCGTCCCGGAACAGCTTACAGGCGTAGCCGAACACCAGCAGCTCCGCATACTTGCTGCTATCGCTCTGCTCCTTAGTCGCTTTATTATGGTCCGTCTTGCTTCCCCCGCGCCGGTACATTCCAGAAAATATCCGCAAGACACACGAAACAAGCGATAAACTGCTAGAAATGTATAACCATTTCTTTAAAGGTGGGAAAGGTGAAATAAAATATGTGGGCTAACAACTGCTCCAACACATATCAACACACACTGAATCAAATATGGCGTGTTGAAGAACGTTGCGTTTCATAGTCGCAGATTCGTTACACCGTGTTTCGTCAAACTGAATGCGTTGCTGCTGTTTTAGTTTCTAAAAAAACAAAAATATTTTAATATAATATGTGAGCTTTTACAGCATTTTAACATTTTTGGTATCCACTTAGATAGGAGAGATGGATACCATTATTATTCAAGACGAAAACGTCAACGTGAATGGGAAAATGATTTGACCGTACTAAACTTGTAGGCTACCGAACACAGAAACAAAAAAGTCAGAGAAACAGAAAGAAAGAAAGAAAGAAAGAATCATGCATACTGGGCTGTTTTTAGTTGATGTATTGGAGAAATGGGGTACACAATAGGGACCTTTTTCTTTTTTATGGTCAATGAAAGGAGGTGCTGCAATGCAAACTACATTTTATATAAGTTGTTTTATTTTCTACAAATTTTCAGTGGGGTTTGCAATTTTTCTACAACACTGTTACCAGTATTTAGGACACATCGGAATATAGCTAATTTAAACCCTGACATGTGTTATTTCTAGCTGTAATCAATGTTTTTGGAAATAAACATCAATATTTGAATATATAATTTAAACATTAAACAAAATTATACTGGAATGGGTAATGGGTTAAGATTAGCATATTCATCCAACATGATGCTGGGATTGTAGATTTGCCCAAAGAAAAAGAAACATCACTTACTCGCGTCCCACCCGTCCCACCCGCAAATTACGCCTATGCCTCTATGACTTCTAGTTATTTCTTAACTGTGCGCTCTCTCTAGTGTGATTGTTGAATTACATTTTATAGCTTTCAGGAAGATCAGATGAACCTTAAATGTATTAGTTGCTATCAGCCTTTTAGCGGTCATGCTGCAGAATAATTACAGCGTTTGCTTATGTCAGTCAGCGCCGGAGGAGACGTTCTCTCTCTCTCTCTCTCTCACACACACACACATACACGCACACACACATGTCTGGTTTAGTATTCTTGTGGGGACTCTCCATAGGCGTAATTTTTTTATACTGTACAAACCGTACACCCTACACCAACCCTACACCTAAATTTACCCCTCACAGGAAACTTTCTGCATTTTTACATTCTCAAAAAAAACACATTCTGTATGATTTATAAGCTTGTTTCCCCATTGGGACCTCAAGGTCCCCACAGTGGCACGAGTCCCCATGAGTCAGTGTGTATTCAGGTTTAAGTTCCCACTGAAATAGAAAACATTGTACACACACACAGTTTAGTTATCAGTAATCTTTAATTTAATCTACTCCAAGGAAGTTGTTGCTGTAGCTCTCTGGTAATATGGCTATAATTAGGTGTTCTTTATTGGTTTCTGGAGCACAAATAGAACACTTTTAATTTCACTTTATGCCTTTTATGTCACTTTAGGACTCTGAGAATTTTCTGAGGGTGTGTCTGTCTGTCTGTCAGTATTATCTTTAAAATATTATAGATAATATAATAATAATATGTAAAATATTATTATTTTTAATGAATAATTATTGCTAATCATATAGCTTTATAGCTATTTTTATTAATCCAAAATGTATATTTCAGATTTATTTCAATTAATATAAATGTTTTTAATAGTTTTAGTTTTAGGTAGCAATAAAAAAAAAAACCTGTGTCTTTGCATGTTGTAGACAACAGTCACATTTTCTTCAGGATAGGTTTTATAAAGAATGGTTTGCACAACTTTACAACATTTGTGTTTTTAAACCTTCCATAATGCATCACTTTCATTTTAAAACTGAGAGATATGTGAGATTTGTCAGATATGACTGTGGCAATCAAAAGCATGTTGCAATTGCTGTTAGTAGAGTTGAACTTGATCTGAAACCACAACATTCCTTTAATAGCATGATTTTGATCTCAACAGACACCACACCTGTGAACATGCTTACAGATCATGCAGCACAATCTGAAATGTTGGCATGTCATTTTTAAAGACACATTTCATTGCGAGTTCACATAATGTTAAGAGCTGGATCTGGTAGTTTAGTTAGGCGGTCTAGCAGGTTTTGTGATTTTAAAGAAGATAGTCACACCCACATTTTGCAATAAATATAAAGACAGCCCCAAACATAAACAGGTGAGCAAGACAGGGGACTTGAAGTCTTGAAATCTTAATGGCAAACAACAATTTTGGCAAAACTGGTGCTTATTCACTTTTTTAACACATGTATAAATTATCTATTACAATAAAACAGGCATACTTTTCCTGCAGAGCCATGTTTTCACTTGTATTATTCTCAGGTATGGAACCTTTTTACTTATTTTGAATCCTCATCTTGGTTATTTACAAATATATGCGGGGGGGAGGGAGAAATACTTCTGCTTTTGCATTCTTGCTAAATTATTACATTTGTATGATTTTGTTGTATGTGTGTATGCTTCAGTAGTTACAAGACAATCTGTCCTTTTCACATGCTCATTGTCACAAATGTGCTTATTTGATTTGTGACCTAGAAATTTGCTAAAGGTTTGTGCAGATTTTAGAATTTTCCTTATTTCCTGTCATAATTTTCTTTGTTTTAGATTTAGATTTAGATTTCCAGTATATATGTTATACTTTGGTAGGCCGTTCCCTTGCCTTTCATGTTATCAAGTTCTGTATTCATGTTTTCTTGTATTTTAGAATGAAGTTGAAATTTAAAATGTATAAGTTATCATTTAAATCATTATCAACAATGATAAAGATCCTGATTTCCTTGTTTATTTATTTATTAATAAAAGGTAGTGTTGAAATTGAATGGAAAGCTGCTAAACATAAAAATAAATCATTCATATATTCTTCAGTGCATAGCATGACTTTCACGTTATGCTTTTAATAAGTTAATCTTGACAAGTTTGTTGATGTTAAGTTCAGCTTAAAAAACGTTGGGAGGTTAATTGTTGGCTACCTAACAGGTTTTGTGATGTTAAAGAAAATAGTCAAACCCACAAGTCACAGACAGGTGACTTGAAGTATTAAATCCTAACAGTAAATAACAATTTTGACAAAACTGGTTAATTACTTTTGTAACAAATGTATATATATATTTTTTTTCTATCTGTCTATTTTTTTTTATGTTTTTCTTTTATATTATTTAGTTTGTTATTTTGTGTGAACTGAGCAAGAATATTCTAGTCATGCAAAAGTTGTTTTGTTGACCTTTTGTCTAAAATGTGTATAAATGGTCCAACAAACCATTTTACAGTGAGCAACTTTGCACAAGTTCCTAGCATGCATTGCTGCTTGAAAAAAATATGTGGTAACAATTTTCAGAGAGTGATCATTGTTTCACATTTTACCAGCTTAATTTAGACTGGACATGGAAAACAGAAGCCAGTAAACAGTAGCCAGCGATCATGGCACCCATTGGCAATTCAGGAAAAAGTTGCATAATAAAAATGTGCAGGTTATTTTTGGCTTGATGAGAGAAGTTTTCTTTTCTGTGACATATTGAAACACAAGTTGGAATTGGACATATCATATAATTTCTTTAAAAACAAATAGCTTTAGTTAAGTCAGCCATAAACATGATTTACTAGTTAGTGGCAGGAGGTATGAAGGCACAATTCTCATTCTAGAGATAATTTTGTTAGATAAAAATCAGTGCAGTTTGAGATTAGTCATCTTAATAAAATTCCCAGTTATTCATTTATTGTCTTCAGAATGGGCAATTCCTGTTTGTAATTCCTCCATTGTAAATCTTAAATCATTACTGAGCTACCGGAACTACTGCTGCTCTTTCTTGTTAATTTGTCACATGTGCCAGTGCAGTTACAACCATTTGGCTTATGTGTAATGTAATTTCCTTAATTTTCCAGTCTAAAAGTAACCAATAGAAGCCATTTTAAAGAAGTTAAAAAACATCTCTGCTACAATTTAGTGTAAAAGCAACCACTGGAGTCAATCATATTTCCAGTTTTTCTTTTTAGAGCGTCTGTTAAATGTGTTGCTTTTTTTTCTTCTAAAAGTTAATTTTATCAACCTTAGGAGGCATTAGCTCATAAATGAGATCAAAGATAACACATATGAACTAAAAGACATAAAACTCTAATTAATATTTAATGTTAGGGCCGTCAAGTCAAAATATTATATAAAATAAGGTTAATGTGGGGTTGTAGATCTAGACAAAACACTTGTTATGGCCAAGGAAGGAATGAAAAAATTGTGGGGAGTTTTGACCTCATATTCAGACACCTTTTCACATTAAAGAAAGAGATTTTTCTTTATTGTCTTCTTTTAAACATACAGGTAATTTTGAGAGTCACAGTGGTGTAATTAATGGTCAATTATCATTGCCATTATAGAAATGGACTTTCTTGCGGACTTCCAATGGCTGCCGTGTGCGTGTGTCCATTAAGTCGACGAGACCGTATAGTGTCCCATTCGTCATGTTAGCTTTCAGAAGGGTGCTCGCGAATGCCCCCTTTGTGGCCCTGTGCGCCCTCGATGTGCACTTCTGCCGAGCCCAGACTAAGGCTAGCTCCACAGCAGACTTCTACCCGGCAGTCAAAGCAGCATAACTTCAAGAAAGTGTGGACCAATTATCATTGCCATTATAGAAATGGACTTTCTTGCGGACTTCCAATGGCTGCCGTGTGCGCGTGTCCATTAAGTCGACGAGACCGTATAGTGTCCCATTCGTCATGTTAGGTTTCAGAAGGGTGCTCGCGAATGCCCCCTTTGTGGCCCTGTGCGCCCTCGATGTGCACTTCTGCCGAGCCCAGACTAAGGCTAGCTCCACAGCAGACTTTTAACCAGCAGTCAAAGCAGCATAACTTCATGAAAGTGTGGATTCAGATGATTTGAGACAGGGCCTCTAGTATCTGATAATGGACATAACTGAGATAGTATCATGTGATGTGGTCATGTGATCTCAACATAAGGCAACTTTTGTGTTTTCAACAGGTTTCTTTACCCTCACACTGTGTGCCCCTCAGTATGTCTTTGTAAATGAGTCCAAGACTTGGGCAGAAGCTCAGAGATACTGTAGAGATAAATACACTGATCTGGCCACCATTGAAAATGAACAACAGACAGTCCAGTTGATCGACACAGTGAATCATGATTCCATTGATTTGGCCTGGATTGGACTCTATGATGATCTGAACAGTTGGAAATGGACTCTAGAGGACAGTGATTTCTTCAAGGTTGGAGAGAAAAACTTCAGGAACTGGTATGACCAAGGACCAGGCAATTCTGGAGGACAAAGTCTGTGTGTGTATATGAATAATGGGATATGGTATGCAGCAAGCTGCTCCAATTCATTTTATCTTACGGTCTGCTATGATGGTGAGCTATTCTATTAAAATGCGTAAGACAGTGAACAAAATTGAAAACAACTAAACCATCCTTTCTCTTAACTAAATATGATATTCATATTTTTCAGGAAGAGAAAATGCCAGCGCAACTTATGTTTTCATTTACCAGTACCAAACCTGGACTGAAGCTCAGAGTTACTGCAGAGAACATCACACAGACCTCATCAGTATCAGGAATGAGACTGAAAACCAGAAGATCCAGTATTTATTACGAAATATTTATTATTATTATTATCAAAATGTTTGGATTGGACTGTACCATACCAGATCTTGGTCAGATCAGAGCAACACTTCATTTACTTACTGGAGCACATGGCAACCAAACACTGCAGGATCCTGCACTGTAGTCTCATTTAGAGACTCTGGGAAATGGATGGATGAAAACTGCAATTATGCATTTCCTTTCTTTTGCCACAGTGGTGAGTAGATCTTAAAGGCTGTTCACACCAAGGACGATAACTGTGACAAAAGCGATAAAGATACACATCACACCTATAAAAACTATAAAGTTCACAGCACAACTATAGCAACGATAAGGAACGATATTGTTGGAATCACGTTTAGAATGATTTTTCCAGCTGATGGATGATAAAAACTTTGACAATTAGCCAATCAGAATTCACTTTACTTTAAAAAGCTTGAGCATTTAAAGTGGCAGACAACATAACTGCAGCGTGCTTATAAAAACAGAATTTTATTGTTCATTGGTGTGGACACTAATATAGTTACCATTATAGTTATCATTCTTGATGTGAATGGCCCTTTAAGAGGTTCATAGTTCAGCCAAAAATATTAATTCTGTCATCATTTATTCACCCTCATGTCATTCCAAATCTGTATGCATTTCTATCTTCTATGGAATGGAAAAATCTCAAAATATCTTCTTTGATGTTCTACAGAAGAAATAAATTAATACAGTTTTGTAACAACATTAGGGAGAGTAAAAGATGACAGAATTTTCATTTTTGGGTGAACATATTTTTCACTGTCTTTAACATTTTCTAGCTTAGATAGTAATTCATGACATCTATCCGATATTGCCTCAATGTGATCATATAAATTGCAAAAAAAAGTACAGTTTAATGAGGTTAAACAGTCTAAAACTATATTGGAAATCTGTGTTTCAAAGTCTAATCTAAGCCTGCAAATAAACTAAGCTTTTGGAACTTATAAATGTAACGATGTTAAATATTCTAAATTCAGCCATTGATCAAATAAGCAAATTTGTGACACTGATCAAGTGAACTCCTTGGTACAAAAAGCATATGCTTTTTGAATAATCTGAAATCATGTTGGAGAACATGATCATAAACTTTAACACAAACTTGAGAAGTACATGTAGTTTGATGGCTGATGTCATTACAGCAAAAGGAAGAAAAACTAAATACTACAGATTTTGACATTTGTGTCCATTTTTTAATCCAACTTTTCACTCAATGCTTAGCATATAATTTATAGTAAAGATTTCGTTAAATGTAAAAAATGTTAAATCTTTGGTAGTGGTCTCATATTTTGGACTCCACTGAATTCATTAGAAATATTTAGGATACTTTGATATATTTAACACACACACACACACACACACAAAACTTAATTTGTTTCCTCTATTGACAGCATTAGCATCATCTCGTCAGTATCACTTTGTGAATGAGAGTAAGACCTGGACTGAAGCTCAGAGATACTGCAGACAGAATTACACTGATCTGGCCACCATTGATAACATGGAGGAAATGAACAGACTGATTAACACAGTTAATGGGACTTACAATGATTCAGCCTGGATTGGAGAGTATGATGATGTGAACAGCTGGAGATGGTCACTGGAAGACAATGATTTCTATCAGGAAGAAGAGAGAGATTTCAGGAACTGGTATCATGAACCGGACAACAGTGGGGGGAACCAGCTGTGTGTTTACATGGATTATAATGGTAAATGGTATGATATGTCATGTGACAACACACTGCCATTTGTTTGCTATGATGGTAAGGACTTTTCTTTTTTTTATTATAAATTAGATATTTTATTTCAGTGAAAGCTAATGTGCATATACATTTGGCATTTCATATCTCAGGTAGAGAGACCGCCACAGAGAGTTACATCGTAATCTATAACTGGGAAACCTGGTCAGAGGCTCGTAGATACTGCAGAGAACATTACACAGATCTCGCCAATGTGAGAAATCAGACTGAGAACCAGAGGATCTTTGAGACAGCAGGTAGAGGAGTCTGGATTGGCCTGTACAGAAACAGGATTTGGTCAAACAGTCAGAATACCAATTATCAAAACTGGAGGCCGCAAATTCCTGGGTTACCGGCGCAACCAGATAATGTTGTTAACTACGCTGATGCATATGGATATCAGCACTGCACTGCAGTGTCATTCAGATATTCAGGCCGATGGACAGATGAGATCTGTGTATCCAGCATGCCTTTCTTCTGCTACAGCAGTAAGTTCACTTGCTTTATTGGATGCCATTATTTAGCAGGAATGAGAAAGACTTTTATCACCTTTCTCCAACATGAAAGATTTAATTTGGACAGATATAATCCATTATATTTGGTATGCAATCATGACAGGAAAATAATTAATTAACTACTAATTTGTACAATGACAATTTATTCACAATAGCATGATTTATTGGTACATCAGTGACCAGCTCATGGCAACAAATTGTGACAATTCTTACCCATTTGTCTGCTATGATGGCAAGACATTCCAATTGAATTTTTGTTTATGTACATTTTGAGTTTCCGTTTTGTAAAACACTAGTTGCTGAGTCAAAGTCTCAACCACCCAAATGTACCACCCAAAAACATCAGGTTTATTGAGTGTTATGTAGATGCTAGCAGATACTATAAAGATGTTCAATGTTCAAGTTGTAAACTTAAAACTAATTGTAAATGTCAGTGTATTTTAGATATAAATGTATGCATTTAAAAGCCAGATGAATTAACCAATGAACGGACTTATATTTTTTTTATCGTAGGTAGAGAAAACGCCACTGAGAAGTATATTATGGTATATGACTCTAAGACCTGGACTGAAGCTCAGAGCTACTGCAGAGAGAAATACACAGACCTGGCCAGTGTGAGAAATGAGACAGAACATCAACAGATACTGAGCATTACCCGTTATTATGGACAGTATGTATGGATTGGTCTGCGCAGAAACAGACTGTGGTCAGATCAGAGCAGCTCCTCCTTCACATATTGGCTCCCACACACCTCATCGGTTGCTGCACAACCAGATAATGGTGCAAATGTCCCAGGACAGTGGGGATCTCAACACTGCACAGCTGTGTCTTTACAATACTTTGGCCAGTGGACAGATGAGAGCTGCTTTGCCAGTTTGCCTTTCTTCTGTTACAGTGGTGAGCAAATATACCTACAGTACTATAATGAAATAAAATAATAAACATCAGGCTGTTACACACAAAAACAAGAAAATATGGATATAAATGTGGATTCTGTAAAATAAAAAGAAACTAAAGTCTGCATAATAAGTGTGACACACTGTATGATACTTATGCTAAAGTTTTGCTAATCCAAGCATTCTGTTTGTTTTTCGCTAAACCTGATGACCATCACATCAACCTATTCAGATGAGTATGGTATGTTTGAGTATAAATGTGATCTATATGTTTCTGCTATTTTCAATAAAGCACTGTAAAATAATTTGGAGGTCTTGGAGTTTTGGAGTTTTATGTTTACATGCTTTAATTGAGACTGAAACTGAACTGAAATGAATTTTTTTTCAATGTAGCAAGCAAACAGAAAAATTACAGAAAAATTAAAAATTTACTAAAATCTTTTACAGTGTGTGTGTAATAATTATTAATTTTAACACCTGACCTGTTTTTTTTGTTTGTTTTTGTTTTTATCAGTGATGGGAATGCGAATAGAAGTTACAAGTCTAGACAATTTATCAGAGTCTCAGATTGAAGAGCTTGTGATTATACAGGTAAGTAAAAGTCAATATGACTCACTTACCTACAGTACTGAATATTTACCATGTTTTTACATAAACATTGTATTTTATGCTTTATTTAGTTTATTGATACTACATATCATTTTCTATATGAACATTTCATTTCAAAAGAACTCTAGGCAACAGTGCAATAAATACTTTTACATTTGAATAATAAATAAATTAAAATAAATAAATTTGATCCTTAAACAATATGACTGACATATCATATCAGTGCATGATTGTCATGAAGCTCATATATTTTCAGTTACAAGAGGAGCTGATGAGGCTCGGACTTCCCAGCAACGTCACCATGAATTTAAGAGACTATCGTAAGATCAAGCCCTGACAGAAGATGTTCCAATGGTCCTATTAAATCAGTGAAGGGCTTTGTATCAAAATGAATGTAGCTTGAATTTAACATTAAAATAATGGAAAATTGGGCTTACAGTATGCTGTACATAGTTTAATCAATAGTTTTCCATAAAAAGGCAAAACAGGTGAAAACAATACCATTATGCTCTTTATACCAATGATTTTTGACATCAATATGATCTGAATATGAAAAATATGAATATAAGATGATGGGTATTTTGTGTTTGTTTTGAAGTTATGCATAACAATGGTACTGAATGTCATGTCTGTAAAGTTAGATAAAGTTTGAAATTTTGAAAGGAAGCTATGTTTTGTGGGTCTTAAGTTTTAGTATAGTACAATCAAAAGGATGAAAAAATTATTACAATAATGAACCTGGCACCTGTTTTACCTTGTAAGGTGCTGAAGCGCATGTAACTAAATAAATCACATACAAAAATAAGAAAGAATGTGGACATAAAAACAAACCTTTCCTGTTAATAGTTTGACCTAATTCCCCTGCTTTGCACATAGCTGTTTTCTTTACCAAGACTTAGAACATAGATGCTATATGAAATAAAAGTTTTCATTTTTAGGTGAATTATTCCTTTACTAAGTATTAGGATGTAGTAAATAATTAAGATGTAAAACACAGATTTTCAAGAGATACAATTAAATACAGTGTCATGACTGGATAAACATACTGCATACAAACAAAAAGCATAGCTGTCACTACTCATAGTGAGGTATCAAACGCCTTGAGTTGAAAGCAGATGAGAGTACGGCTGCAGTCAGGAAAGCAGTGAAATAAGCGCAGTCAAGATGGACTTGCCCCATGCACTTCTCGTGAGCCCCATCATTTCTCTTTTCATGAGCCCTATCAGATTGGTCGTGGCGGTGGTATTGCAACAATATTCATGGGTTTCAGTCACGTGACTTTTTTGTTGCGGCCGCCATCTTTAGGACCTTGAGTAGCCTCTCCTTGGTAATCGGAAACCAAAATAACACTTCACTAACAACGGAAAACAATGGTATTTTAAAAAAATAGATACTTTAGGATTAGATCCTTATTTACTGTCAAGCGAACTGCTGACTCCACTAAAGTCTAGTGAAAACTTAACAACTTGACGTTTGCTGATAGGCTGTTTACATCTACCTCATACACAATCCCTCTTCGTACACTCGGGCCATTTTCAGTTAAATTTTCACCTGCTAGAGACTTGTCCATCGGCCTGGATCCATCTGCAGCACCCAGCCTGGATGCTTGCGTACTCACTTTCAGATTCTGGGTCGAATCAACCGGACCAGATGCGACAGCCGTAACTTGCCGACACTGCGGCATCCAAGCCAGACTCGGCCCCTTGCGTATGCAGCACGCCAGACTTAGCACAGTTGCATTTCTATATCTACTGTACTGTTCATTAATATTTCATTTAAAATCTATAACGTTACTGTCACGAATTCGGTCCATGGACTTCCGTTTATTCACCACCAGAGGTCACCCTTTCCATTACATTGACTCTCGCACAACACTAACTGTTGCATAGCACCCCGGACTACATATCCCATCATTCTTTGCACGATTTACACTCTGCACTGATTGCACTCATTGCACACAGCTGTTTCTAATCACCTCACTCACTATATAACACCCACTCCTACCACCTTTCTCGGCTGAGTATTGTTTAGCCTGTACCCCTTTGCGAGTCGCCGTGGTTTCCTTGTTTTGCCTTGCCTGTTTTTGCGGTTTCTGATCTTTGCCTGTTTTCCTGGATGTCTTGCCCCTGTGATTCTGTCTGCCGATCGGTGACCTACGCTAGCCCTATTCTTGTGTTTTTGCCCGCCATATACCTGTTTGCCATTGTTCGATCCTACCTGTTATACCACGTCTCTTGAATAAAAGCTTGCAGATGGATCCACACGTCTCACGTCTCGTCAGCCCCGTTACAGTTACCTAGACAAAACATTTACTTTCATTTTAATTATATAGATTGTAATACATAAATAACATGTACTATAATGTTTGCCATTGTTCGACCCTGCCTGTTATACCACGTCTCTTGAATAAAAGCTTGCAGATGGATCCGCACGTCTCACGTCTCGTCAGCCCCATTACAGTTACCTAGACAAAACATTTACTTTCATTTTAATTATATAGATTGTAATACATAAATAACATGACTTAACAAATCTATAAAAATCTCATTATTATGAAAGCAATTTTAAAGTCCATTAAATAACTAGCTTGACCAAGCTGGCATGAGGAAAATTTATTTACAAAACAATTTATTTACAAAACCATGCAATTACAGCAAAAAAAACAGCAGCTATATAATAAGTGTAGATAAAATATTTAACACATTTTGCAAAATTACCCATGCATTTACTTGAATGAATGAGGCATTTATATGTACACTCAGACTGTAACATTTAATAAATAAAGGTTAAAACATTACAAATTTTAAAGCTGTTTTGAAAAACACATTGGTAAATGGCAAAGTTTTTGAATTAAACATTTTGTACTTGGTAAATTAATTTAAATAATTATTACCTAACCATGAATAATTTTTAAAGGTAATCAGTGAATACTGTTCTTGGTTGTTGCTCATTGTGCAGCATGTCTTTCCACATCTTAGTCCAGTGAGTACTTTGCTTGGGAGCTTTCATTTCTGCACCTGTAAAGAGCAAATAATGCACAAGTATCTATTACTAAAGGTCTAACTGAATGCACCAAACTGAATGAAAGTAAATGTATATATATTGCAGCAAAGCACATGTTGTTAGAAAGACTATTTACTTATTATTATTCACCTATTTAATTCTAGCACATTAAGTGGCTGTGTCCAGTATGATTAAAATTTAAAGTGTGTATCATCCTAATTAAAGAGATAGTTTACCCAAAAATGAAAATAATTTACTCATTTTATGTCGTCTACACGTGACAAACCTGTTGGTTTTGATTACCAGCATTCTTCAAAGTATCTTCTTTCTTCTGCAGAAAAACGAAAGTCAGGGGTTTGATAAACAATGAGGGGGAATTGATGTAATAATGTAAATGATGACAGAATTCTGGGTTAACTATACTTTTAAGTAAATTAGTAGAAACACTATTCACTAGTTATCACTGTGCAGAAAAATAACAGTGAATGCCACAATAAAATGCTTGATGCACGTGACAAACCTGTTGGTTTTGATTACCAGCATTCTTCAAATATCTTCTTTCTTCTGCAGAAAAACAAAAGTCAGGGGTTTGAAAAACAATGATGTATTAATGTAAATGATGACAGAATTCTGGGTTAACTATACTTTTAAGTACATTAGTAGGACACACTTTTAACTAGTTAACACTGTGCAGAAAAATAACAGTGAAAGCCACAATAAAATGCTTGAAAAATACACATTCAATAGATCCATAGCTTCCTAGGGGTTTGATAAACAATGAGGGGGAATTGATGTAATAATGTAAATGATGACAGAATTGTGGGTTAACTATACTTTTGAGTAAATTAGTAGAAACACTTTTCACTAGTCATCAATGTGCAGAAAAATAGCAGTGAATGCCGCAATAAAATGCTTGAAAAATACACATTCAGTAGATCCATAGCTTCCTGCTGGTCAGTTTGTCTCTTCAGTTAAGATTCCCCCAATTGTTGCAGAAAACATTTTATTACATAGTATAATCATGGTCAGTACAGACATGCACTTGAACTTACTTTCTCATGGACTCTAACTGCTCCTTGCTAGTCCAGTCAGAGAAGTATAATAAAGATGAAGTATACTGTCTGAATCCAAGCACTGCTCGTTGTTCACAGCTCTCTGAGGAACTTCTGCGATGACACTTCTCTTAGACATGCACTTGAACTTACTTTCTCATGGACTCTAACTGCTCCTTGCTAGTCCAGTCAGAGAAGTATAATAAAGATGAAGTATACTGTCTGAATCCAAGCACTGCTCGGTGTTCACAGCTGTCTGAGGAACTTCTGCGATGACACTTCTCTTGGTTACTTCAAAACATTGTTAAAAGACATTTGTGGCACATTTAACATCCTGTACGTCTCTACATGCTAAGTGAAGAAGCAACTAAAGTAGCAACAAAACTGTGATTCTGTGTTTTGTTGTAGTCAGATACATGTGTTTTGGCAGTGGTGAGCACCTGTACATATAAGTCTGCTTACATTTAGCAACTGTAAAAGCAGGACACAGCTACTGCAAATGATCTCAGACATATCGATGCATTTAAATTTGATTGCAGTACATTGTCATCGTACAAATTACTGCAACTAGCTTATATAGGCTATTTAGTTAACAGGTTATTTGAAAAGAACGTTCTATAGAATTATAAAACTAATAGTACAAACAAATCCTCTTCACATTAACATCCTTGAAGTAATTACATTCAGTTACATTCATAAAAATAAGAATGTGGAAACTAAAACTACAAACCTTTCTCCTTGTATGCGCTGAACCGTCGTCATCCTCCTCTTCTTCATCTGTTTGTTTGCAGATCGGAGTGTTGTTCGTCAAAGTTTAGTGCAGTGTAAACATTCTAGACTCACATAACTGTACTCAGATCAAAGATCAAAAACATCTCGTTGATTTATTAGCTTTAGGTGAAGCATAACGAAAGTTTTCTGGCAAATCATCAGTCTTGGATGCAAATTTAACCTTTTACAAGTTTCATTATGAACTTGCTAACTAAAATACTAAAATATAAAAACTCATCTATGCTTACGAGAAAACCTATGAATAGAGCGATATTCTCAATGTTACTCAGAAATAATGTACCAGATTCAGTATGCACCTTATTGATGACCCTTGGCGTTAATATACAGCAGTTGTGTCAGTGTGTGATGTAATAAAACTGCAGCTCGTTAATAAACAACATATTTTTGTTTGATCCATTTTATACAATCCGCCTTCATTCAGCAAGTGCACTCACGCAAAAAAATAGTTTTCAAGTTCAACACTTTTTGTTCCATTCAGTTGTAGATGCTGCTGATAGAGCAGGTTATTCGCCCAGACTGCCGCGGCCCCCGCAAAGAGACGTGCGTGTGAGTGTGTGTGTGTGTGTTTTCTTTTGACCCTACCAGGTCAAGAAAATATGATCATATTACCCCAATTTTACAAACTCTTCACTGCCTATACCTAAGTTCCATATCAATTACAAAATATTGCTGCTTACTTATAGGGCCCTAAATGGTTTAGCTCTTGCGTCTTCTATCATGCTACAATCCAATACTTAATGTTGCAAAACTTTGGACCTCTTATGAAGATTTGAGATGACGCCAACCCTGAACCAGTTGACAAAATTACCGATTTTCCTTAAACTACTATCATTTTAATCACAACATAAAATGATTGCTGTTAATCATGTTCACCATTTCTGTTTAAATACATGTCATTAACTAACTGCACGATTTTAACTATCCTAGAATAGTACATGTCTGCCATATGGACATCTCTTTGACTTATGGACACACTTTGATAAGTTACTCCTATTATAATGTAGAAACATTCATTTTCTGTGAAGCTGCTTTGCAACAATATCTATTGTGAAAAATAATAGAGTACTTCTTTTGCACTTAACGTCTGTTAAAAAGTATGTTTGTACGATCACCCTATAAGTGCTCTCTTTTGCTGTTTTCAATCCTAAATATTTTTTTTTTTTTTTTTTTTTACATATCACTGATTTACTGAGTTCACTGTTCAGTACTGAGCAATTGTTTATATACTGTATATATATATATATTTAGCTCAGAAATATCTCACAGAAAACAAATTACAAATTTTAGTTTCAGGAAGAATTTATCAGATGAGGACTTCCCAGCAACTTGAAAATGCTTTTGAGTAAAACTGGTCGTAAAACTGGTCTATGAGAGGTTAGGACAGCATTCCTGCACAAGCAAATGGTTTTAGGTTTCATGTTTCATTAAACTACCCTTGACCTACATTTTTCTCTCCCTTAAGAAAATTATTTTTGTTTTTTTTTTTTTTTGGCATATTGATTACCATTTGTATAACCACAGTTTTACTACAAATACCATGGTTAAACTATGGTTATTGTAGCAAAACCATGGTTAATTTGTTGTTACCACGGTTTAACTATAGTAACCATTTGTTTGTTTTTAGATGTAGAAAAATTTAGGTTTTCTGTACTCATATTATTGCATTGTTGCAATACCTGGGCACACATTTAAATTTTATATTTGTTAATTTATTTGTTAAGATATTGTTGATCGATCAAATATAATGATAAATCAAAACATGGGCTGCATGAAAGACTCATATGATTTAGTCTTGAGTTGTTAGTTATTTAGAAATGTTGTTTCTCTGTTTTATGGTCTAAATGGTCATAGCACTCACAAGTTCAGAAAATGTAAGCGATTCTTATTCTAAAGGAATAAAGATTTTGGTCAAGTGTTGTGTAAAGCATTTGTTTTCATGTAACAGCAGAATGTTTATGTTTTTTTGTGTACATTTAATAAAGTTATGTGAACCATCAGGTTTCTTGATGTCAGTTGTGTTTATAAAAATGATCCCTCCCACATTTTGTAAACAGTATAAATATGAAGACAGTCAGATAGTTTAAAACAAAAGCAGCAAGATAAAAGACGAGGCTTCAACTCAAAAGGTAAATTATTGACCATTTTTAAAGATATTTTAAATGTTTAATAAATGAGACAAATTACAGTTAATGCAAATAATGCAAAATTTGCCGTGTTTGAATACATTTTGATCAGTTCTTGTTTCTTGTTGATTGCTAAATAATGATTAATGTAGGTTGTCTGTATTCATATTATTGCATTTTGTAAACAGTATAAATATGCAGAGAGTAAGATCATTTAAAACAAAAGCAGACAGATAAAAGACGAGGCTTCAACTCAAAAGATAAATTGCAAATCATTTTTAAAATGGCTTTTCCTCTTGGCATTTAAAGCATTAAAATAAATAAAATTATTTGATTGATTTTACATGTGTATACTATTTTCCACAGCTATGTTTCCATTGCTTCTATTATCGGGTAAGAGAAATATTTTCATAAAACATTTTATCATCAATTAAACTGACATTTTGTATAAGAGTATGTTGTGGAATTTGTCTAGCTACTAAAATTACACTAATTACATTTTTTATCATTTGGAGAATATAGATATTTAAATGGACACTTTTGGTATTTTTTTTTTTTTATTGAAAAACTAAACTTGAACTCTTTAATAGGGTTTCTTACCTTCACCTTGAGTGTCCCTCATCAGTATGTCTTTGTGAATGAATCCATGACTTGGGCAGAAGCTCAGAGATACTGTAGAGAGAAATACACTGATCTGGCCACCATTGAAAATGAACAACAGACAGTCCAGTTGATCGACACAGAGAATCATGATTCCATTGATTTGGCCTGGATTGGACTCTATGATGATCTGAACAGTTGGAAATGGACTCTAGAGGACAGTGATTTCTTCAAGGTGGGAGAGAAAGACTTCAGGAACTGGTATGACCCAGGACCAGACAATTATGGAGGACAAAGTCTGTGTGTGTATATGGACAATGGGATATGGTATACGACATACTGTTTCAATTATCGTCCTTTTATCTGCTATGATGGTAAGCAGTTTAATTAATAATATGTATGGGACACTGAAAAACAGATAATTATATTTAATTACAAGTATTCTTAAATAATCAACTCACTAAAATTCAAAACTGTATTTAAATGTTTCAGGAAGACAGAATGCCAGTGCTAGTTATGTGTTTGTCTACCAGTACCAAACCTGGACTGCAGCTCAGAGTTACTGCAGAGCACATCACACAGACCTCGTCAGTATCAGGAATGAGACTGAACACCAGAAGATCCAGGATTTATTAAAGAATAACTATTACTATTATTATGTGTGGATTGGACTGTACAGAACCAGATCTTGGTCAGATCAGAGCAACTCTTCATTCAGTAACTGGAGAGCAGGACAGCCAGATAACACTGGATCCTGCACTGTAGTCTCATTCAGTGACTCTGGGAAATGGACTGATGAATACTGCAATTATAGATTTCCTTTAATTTGCTACAGTGGTGAGTGGATGTCTATGTAGTGGCCAGGACTGTCAAAATGTTTTAAATGTTAACATTTTACACTTTCTTCACAGTGTCATCTTTGACATCATCCCGTCAGTATCACTTTGTGAATGAGAGTAAGACCTGGACTGAAGCTCAGAGATACTGCAGACAGAATTACACTGATCTGGCCACCATTGATAATATGGAGGAAATGAACAGACTGATTAACACAGTTAATGGGAGTTACAATGGTTCAGCCTGGATTGGACTGTATGATGATGTGAATAGCTGGAGATGGTCACTGGAAGACAATGATTTCTATCAGGAAGGAGAGAGAGATTTCAGAAACTGGTATCATGAACCGGACAACAGTGGGGGGAACCAGTTGTGTGTTTACATGGATTATAATGGTAAATGGTATGATATATCATGTGACAACACACCGCCATTTGTTTGCTATGATGGTAAGGACATTTCATTCACAGAGAGTTACATCATAATCTATAACTGGGAAACCTGGTCAGAGGCTCGTAGATACTGCAGAGAACATTACACAGATCTTGTCAATGTGAGAAATCAGACTGAGAACCAGAGGATCCTTGAGACAGCAGGTGGAGGAGTCTGGATAGGACTGTACAGAAACAGGATTTGGTCAAACGGTCAGAATACCAATTATGAAGACTGGAGACCAGCCGTTCCCTATTCAGAACAACAACCAAACAGAAACAGGATTTGGTCAAACGGTCAGAATACCAATTATGAAGACTGGAGACCAGCCGTTCCCTATTCAGAACAACAACCAAATAATGGTGAATATGTTTATGGCCAGTGGGGCTTGCAGCACTGTACTGCTGTATCATTCAGTCATTTAGGTCGATGGACTGATGAGAACTGCTTAGCCAGCTTGACTTTTATCTGCTACAACAGTAAGTTTATTTTTGCTCTCTTTTTTATCACTTATGTTTTTCTAATATCACTTTTTGTAATGTCTAATCAATGTATAGATTTCATTTATATTTATATTAATTATTATTATTATTATAGATTTTAAAACCATTTATCACATATTTTAATTAGCACATTGCAAAAGCTGTTCTTCAAGTTGTTAACAGCAGGTGTTAATATAGACAGGTATAATTTTAATAATTTCTACTTTATTCAATATTTTTATTACATTTAAAAAATCTTCACAATAAATAAATTTTCATAGTTTTTAATTATATATTGCAGTTCTGCAGAGAAAAATCAAACATATTTCCCTGTTATATATTTTAAACTTAAAGGAACCTGCACACAATCTTCATGCACCCGTCAGTATCACTTTGTGAATGAGTCTAAGACCTGGACTGAAGCTCAGAGATACTGCAGACAGAATTACACTGATCTGGCCACCATTGATAACACGGAGGAAATGAAGAGGCTCTATAAAAGAGTGTACAGAACTTACTATGGCAAAGCTTGGATTGGTCTCTATGATGATACAAACAGCTGGAAGTGGTCTCTGGAAAATGTCATGTTTGATGGAGGATTTAAAAGCTGGTTTGTTCAGCAGCAAGTGAACTCAGGTGGACAGAGTCTGTGTGTGTACATGTCATATTATCGGGGAACATGGAGTGAAGCCTTTTGCTACTATACACTTCCCTTTGTTTGCTATGACGGTGAGAACTGCTGTTGATTTTTTTTAATGTTTTAAGAACAACATACAGTATTTATGATACTCAGATATATCACATCTACATATATATTCCCCACAGGAAGAGTGAATGCTAGTACAAGTTATGTGTTTGTCAACCAGTACAAAAACTGGACTGCAGCTCAGAGTTACTGCAGAGAACATCACACAGACCTCGTCAGTATCAGGAATGAGACTGAAAACTACAAACTTCAATCATTATTTTCATATTATTACTTTTGGATTGGACTGTACAGAACCAGATCTTGGTCAGATCAGAACAACTCTTCATTCAGTAACTGGAGAGCAGGACAGCCAGATAATGCTGGAAACAGTGAATACTGCACTGCAGTGTCATTTAGTGAATCTGGGAACTGGACAGATGAAAACTGCAACATTGCATCACCTTTCATTTGCTACAGAGGTGAGTAGATCATTTAGACCCCAATAGAGTCTTGCCAGAAACATACACTCTCAGCTGTCTGTGATATTTTGTGCACCTCTAATAAAATAAATAAAATTATGTTGACATTTTTTAGAAGATTTAACTACTGAATGTTCAAAGAAAGGCAATACTTTATAATAACTTTCCTTAATCATCAACAAACATAATATAATGCTTAATGTATCATTAGTTAATATATATTCAAATAGCTACAAAAATGAGATAATGTGCTTGTAAATGTTTACTAATGAACTTATTGGATATCACATAATGATTAACAGAACATTAGTTAACAAATTAAAATGGTTACAAATGTTGTTACACACTCAATTCATATATGATCATGCACTTTATAAAAATCTACAAACAATTTGTTCTGTTATTATTTTGTAATGTAATATTATCATTATTTAAACATTTACAAGCACATTATCTCATGTCATTACAAGGAATCTTTATGTTGCAATTAATGCAACTTGTTAACGTTTATCTTCACCCTTTTTTCCCACCTTGACAGCATTATCATCATCTCGTCAGTATCACTTTGTGAATGAATCTAAGACCTGGACTGAAGCTCAGAGATACTGCAGACAGAATTACACTGATCTGGCCACCATTGATAACATGGAGGAAATGAAGAGGCTGATTAACACAGTTAATGGGAGTTACAATGATTCAGCCTGGATTGGACTGTATGATGATGTGAATAGCTGGAGATGGTCATTGGAAGACAATGATTTCTATCAGGAAGAAGAGAGAGATTTCAGGAACTGGTATCATGAACCGAACAATGGAGCAAATGAACTGTGTGTTTACATGGATTCCAATGGAAACTGGTTTGATTCATCATGTGACAATTATTACACATTTGTTTGCTATGATGGTAAGAAGTTACAAGCAAAAAAATTGTCATTGTATGAAGTTAGATCAGAAATTAATAAATTGACTGATACACATCCATTATATTATGTTTTATTTTAGGTACAGGAAACAGCTCTCAGAAATATGTTTGGATATATGAGCATAGGACCTGGACTGGAGCTCAGAGCTACTGCAGAGAGAAATACACAGACCTGGCCAGTGTGAGGAATGAGACAGAACATCAACAGATACTGAATGTTACACATTATCCTGTATGGATTGGTCTGCACAGAAACAGACTGTGGTCAGATCAGAGCAACTCTTCCTTCACATATTGGCTTCCGTGGACTCAAGGTGTTGCTGCACAACCAGATAATGGTGCAAATGTCCCAGGACAGCGGGGATCTCAACACTGTACAGCTGTGTCTTTACAATACTTTGGCCAGTGGACAGATGAGAGCTGCTTTGCTAGTTTGCCTGTCTTCTGTTACAGTGGTGAGCTAATATACCCTCTCTAATTGAATAAAAGAATACACATCGAGGGAAAAGAGCAAATTCATTGTAATAAAATGTTGATTTGTTAAAATGAAAGCCATTGTTGTTTATGTAACTCAGTATTTTTTATACTAATGCTAGCTCTATCTTCTGTTTGCTTTCTGCTGGACATGATGAACATTATATTGACCCATCAATTCAGATAAGTATGGTATGTATGTATGTATGTATGCATGTATAGATGTGCTCTTTACTGCTGTTTTCATTCCAAAAAGTGTGTTTTCCAACATATATCAACATCACCAGATGTGTGTGTGTGTGTGTGTGTGTGTGTGTGTGTTTATGCACTACTGACCATTTTTGTTTGTTTTTTACTGATCAGTGACAGGACTTAGAGTGGAAGTTACAAGTCTGGAGAATCTGTCAGAGTCTCAAATTGAAGAGCTGGTGATTATGCAGGTGAGAAACATGTCATGTAAAACATAACAGTTTTACTTTTTGTTTTATTGTTGTAAAAATAAATAAATCATGTTGAGAACAACAGAGGCAATATTGTTAACAGATCTTGTCATGATATATATGCACACTTAGCTAAGTTCATGGAGCTCTCACCTAATGAGCTGGTGATCTGAATCATGTGTCTTAAATAAAGGAGACATACAAAATGTGCAGAGCAGTGGGTCCCAAGGACCAGGATTAAAAACCACTGGTTTAGTTAACAAAATACAAATCTAAGACATCTAAACACCCTGTCATTGAGAATAATACCTTCAATTAGGATAATTTTGTGATTGACACATTGACCAACAAAATAGAGAGCTAGATAATATATTGTGGTGCAAACAAACAAAATTATATTCTATAAATGATTTCTGAATCTCTGTGTGTGTGCAGAGGGACATGGCATTTCCAAGCATTTCCTTTTTTTTTTTTTTTTTTGCATTTTAAAGTCATTGTAATTTGTGTCAGGGTCCTGCCCTGATAGTCTTGTCTGTCTTGTCACTGTTGAATGTTTCTTTGTTTGACTTGTGCTTGAGCACATGGCTTTGTTTTGTGTTGGCCATGTGCTCCATTTATCCCACCTCCTTGTTTCCTGTTACCACGCTCCCTTGTTTAGTCCTAGCTGCATCCGAAAATAAATACTTCCCTACTATATAGTAGGCGAAAAACAGTATGTGGCCAAATAAGTATGTCGGCAAAAAGTACCCGGACCTACTACTTCCGGTGTAATTCTGAAGTGTGCATAAGATGGCCACTTTACTATCCCATGAGGCCACGGGAGAGAATTTATGAATGGCACTGACATGACGCAACTGACGCTGGAAGGTCCTGTGACAATGACAACATGGCAAATGTAGTATGTGCAGATTACATTCATACTACACACATTCATAATAGGCAGTGCCGGCCCTACCCTAATAAGCGATATAATCAGTTGCATAGGGCCCCCGTGCCCACCAGGGGTCCCCCTGCCAGGGGTTCACACAAACAGGGGGTGGGGGAGACTAGACATAGTCTCATAAAAATGGCTGCAGGAATTTAATTTTTCATGGTATCTTCTTCAAATTTTAAATATAAGGCAAGGCAAGGCAAGTTTATTTGTATAGCACATTTCATACACAATGGTAATTCAAAGTGCTTTACATAAAAGAAAAGAAAAAAATAATCACAACAATAAAACAAGGAATTTAAAAACTTTGAAAATGATTTAAAAAATTGATTTAAGAGGTTTAAAATGAATTTAAGAAAACGATTATACATAAAATGTAGTGCAATCAGTTCGGACATCGCACAGTGCTCATTCAATAAATACACAGCTAAACAGATGAGTTTTGAGTCTGCATTTAAAAGTGACTAATGTTTTAGCACATCTGATCTCTTCTGGAAGCTGATTCCAACTGCGGGTTATTTTGTAGTTTTGTTTTCTGCATTATCTATGTGAATATTAAAATCCCCTGCTATAGCAAAACAGTCAAACTCTGAGGAAATCATTGATAACATTTCTGTGAACTCATGAGACTTTCAACCCATTACTTTTCTGGATTGCTCAAGGACTGATTTCATGTATTTGTATATGAAATAAGAAAATGAAAACAAGGCACTTTGGTGTCTATAACTTTTTATCTTTTTGAGCATTATCAACTCTGGTAATATAGTAAAGTACATAGTACATGGTTTGTACACATTTTTACCAATACATTTCCATGACTTTTCCATGACTTTTGAGACAATATTCATGACCTAAATGTTCCATTATTTTACAA